CCCTCTTTTCTCTTCTTCTTTCTCCCTTCTCTCTCCTGCCGATTCTTTCTCAAATTTCCAGATCCCTCTTTTGTTGTTTTTTTTTTAATTCCTTATTTTTATTTATCATGTATTTAGTCAATTACTACAATACCCCTCATTTAATTTATTCCTACATCTAAGCCTTCAAGGGCTTTCTAGCCTTTTCCTATCCCTTTATATTCAAAACATTACAGTTTCAAAACCAACTAAAACTCGTGTCCCTAGGAGAGAGGGGAAGGCAAAAAGAAAACATGACATTGTAGGGAGGTTGAAACTGTTCTTCAAGTTCAGACAGATCTAATCTTTCATTACTTTCTTTTGTTTTTCAGTATCTTGGTATGCTTTGTATTTCAGCACATTATGACAATTATGTATCATGTAGTTTATAGCCTGTTAGAACTCATGAGAATCTGCCTCTGAAGTATGAAACAAGTTTAGTTGGACACAGTCTTTGATTATTGTTTTATATCAGATTTTGCTCCTTTATGTTCTGTTTTCAGTTAGTAGACTGTTGTTGAGAATTTTTTAGCTTTTTCAGTTTGGTTGTAAGCCTTTAAATAAGCTTTCTTATTTATGAAATTATATGCTCTCTGCTACAGCTCTTCTATGTTAAAATCATCTATCCTTCAACTGCAAGTTTTTGTTTCAATCTCTGCAGCTTTAACATAGCCTGTATTGAAATTTGGAAGAGAACATTTGCATGTATGAATTTCCTGAAAAGATTACTGTTATAATAAAATTAGAGATGCTTGTAACGAATTAAAAAGCGAACATTAGCAATTATTCATATCGTACAACTTCAGCGACTAGCAATTTCAGAAATTGTCACCCCATTTACAGAACACTGTCCATCTTCTACTTCTAAGGATAAATCAGGAAATTTGTCAGATTTGCTAAAAAGGAATGCAGGTTGTTTTGGAGAAGGAATCTCTGTTTCACTAATCAACATAAAAACAACAGCCAACATAGATGGTCTGTCCGTGGCATCTTCTTGCACGCACAGGAGACCAATTTGTATGCATTTCAGGGCTTCACGCGGATGATACAACTCGTTCAGTGATGGATCCACTATCCCCAATGCTTTGTCTTCTCTCCATAATTCCCACACCTGTGATGTTCATATAAATCATTAGCATACAACAAATGAGAGCAGACAACCTTTAAAATTCAGCCAAGAGCACAAAAAGCTCTGTTATAACTCACATATCCAATCAAGGTCAAGGGAGGATTCTGTTGATAAAATCTGTTGTTCTTCTTGCCACTCACAATCTCTAACAACATGACCCCAAAACTGAAAACATCTGATTTTACAGAAAAGTTTCCAAACACAGCATATTCTGGTGACATATAGCCACTGCATCAGAAAAACAAGATTCTGAAGTTTTAGTATTCCTGGTAAACATTCTCGGTCTTTGTTTTAAGCCAAGGTACTTACTATGTTCCTACAACTCTCCTTGTCCTATCTCCAGTTTGGTTGCTTTCAAATATTTTTGCCATTCCGAAATCTGATATTTTTGGGTTCATCTCTGCATCCAATAGAATGTTGCTGCATTTTAAATCCCTGTGAATGATTCTCAACCTGGAGTCTTGGTGAAGATATAAAATCCCACGAGCTATTCCAACAATAATATCGAAGCGTTTTCGCCATTCCAATAACAATCTTCTGCTTTCATCTGTTAAGAAAGTTACTGTTCAGCCAGCTACAATTCGACAACTAGTGTAAAGCAGGGCAATAAACACAGAAAAAGACTTACCAAAAAGAAACGAGTCTAAGCTTTTGTTTGGCAAGTATTCATAGATTAACATTTGTTCTTCATTCTGAATGCAATAACCTAGAAGTTTCACAAGATTCCTGTGTTGAAGCCTTGCAATTACCATAACTTCATTTTTAAATTCTTCTGTTCCTTGTCCTGAACTTCTGGATAACCTTTTTACCGCAACCTCCTGTCCATTAGCTAGCAGACCCTAAAATCATGTAGCATTTAATCTAGATGATTATTCAAATTAGAGAAAAACAAATGTGTAGTATTGAGAGGCCATTTAGTTTTTTTGCTAGATGCAGTAAGAAACTCTACCTTATAAACCGAGCCAAAACCACCTTGCCCGAGTTTGTTAGCTGGAGAGAAGTTGTTAGTGGCCACCGTTATGGCGCTGAGCTTGAAATATTCCAGTTCAGTAGAATTGCTGTTTACCTGCAGCTCAGTACCTTGTTGTTTTTCCAATCATGAAGCAAAGAGTGAACTTCTTCCCACAACAAGAGCAGGATAAACACATGACTTGGGACGGCATATCAAATAGAGATTAGAGAGTCTTGTCTTACCTTGTTTTGCCCTCTTCTTGAGCCACAAATAAGCAGATAGGCTAATGAGAAACCATAATGATGCAATTGATGGTACTAAAATGGCCATCATCTTGTTTTCATGAGAAACATTTGACTTCCTCTTATTATTAGCTGCATAAGAGTGAAAAGAATAAAGATCAACTCCAGAGAAAAACGACCCCGTTCTCCAATGGAAACGTGACAATACTTATGGCAAAGGCTGGTCCCTTCGGCACCAACAAGTACCAATATCAATGGTTCCTTTCATGTAGTACAGAGCTTATTAACTACATCCTAGAGCAGCGACAAACATTGAAAAGCTGTTATAAATCAATATTTGAAATGAAAATTCTACGAAATTGTTAGTGGGCAGAAAAAGGGTACCTAATTCATATGCATCAACACGAACATACAGATCATAAATTTCACTCCTTCCATCTCTGATGTCTACTAATTCCTTGTACCATGTCAAACAACCTTCCCCTTTTCCAGGAATTCTGATGATTGCGTATGCAGAGCATGAACAATTCCTCTTGCATTCCAGTTCACAGGCTGCACGACTCTTGCTCTTGTGCATCCAAGCTGCAGAAGAAGTGTCCGGAAGACTGTAATTCTCCATCTTCACAAACCCTTCTCCATGATCGCACAACGAAGACGTCTGTAGCCGCTTCCTGACACAACCACCAGATCCATCTCTCGTAGACCATTCCTTTGGGTACTTGGGCTCGAACCCAGGTAAACAGGCACATCCAAAGCTATTATGATTGGTAAGTTCACACGTACTATCAGCACCACACAGTCCATAATAGTCGCACTGAAACAGAGGGGTCTTCCAGAAATCCTTCCACTGACCATCACTTTCTCGCCATGTTAATGCCTTAACATGTCCTGAATGATCCACTATTATTCTTAGCAGATAAGAATCATCAGGAACAGTGTAGACAAAGTACTTTTCGTCTGGATCATTTACAAAGGTGCTTTTGTATAAGCTCATCTGACTTCTCCATGGCCAAGGGGGAGATCTACTAATTGGCTTTTTACCATTATAGAAAAAGAATTGTGGCGAGCCATTTGGGTTGATCCTAACTGAAAAGTCCCCGAACCCAGGGTCTTCGGCTGATCTCCACGATGTTAGGAACCGATCAATTCCTAATTTTCGATCCAGCCCCAGTTTCATTCCAGGAAGCAGGATGTTCGTAGGATAATCGAAGCTTTGCCATACAGTTTTTCTGCTTCTTTTCCTGACCAATATCAAATTTCCTGAATCCAAGAGTTGAGCTGCACAAGTATCATTTTCTTCCACTGAAACATTTGAAGACCACACAGGAAGCTTTTGGTCATCGTTTCCATAGAGAACGAGGTTTCCATAGAGAACGAGGTTTCCATAGAGAACGAGGTTTCCATAGAGAACGAGGTTTCCATAGAGAACGAGGTTTCCATATTGATTTATAAAGAGAACTCCAGAGGAACCAATGATTGGATCGTTCCTGTTTGCAACCCACACCACAGTTTGTTCTGGTATTTTATGGTACCAAATTCCAAGATATCTATTGCTAGAACTACCTGGACTGAAAAATCCCAGTGCGAAATTATTTCCTTTGGAGATAAGAAGGTCACCTTCTTTAATGGTTTGGTTCGTCTTTAAGGAGTCTTGGGATGTACAAGATGAGAATTGGAGCATTAAAAGAGAAAAAAGCAGGAACAGTTTTTCAGCTTCCATTATTGGGAAACTGGATCTTGGCTTTTGGACAATTTGAATGGTGCTCTGTGGAGAAAGGAGAAGGTCTTCGGACAACTATGGGACCATTAGAGAAGTTACGTGAAAAAAGTGGTTATTGTGGGATTTTTGTTTTATGGGTTGCCTGTTCGGAAATGAATAATAATTATTTTCTAAATTTTTTTATTAAAAATATATTAAATAAATTTAAAAAATTATTTTTGGTATTAGTATATTAAAAAAATTTAAAAATATAAAAAAATATTTTTAAACTTTTTTACAAATCTCAATTTATACCACATTCCCAAATGAGTTCATCTTGTCCATTGTATACTGCATACACTACGTGTAGGCCACTTATTTTTTTTTATTTTAAGTTTGATTTTAATTTATAATAAACTAGTTTGATAATATATTATATTATGGTTATATCTAAGATTTTTGATGATTATTTAAAACCTGAGTTCTCTAATATATCTCAAATTTATTAGAATAATGATATTATTAAAGATGATGGTTTTTCAATTAAGAAAGAATATTAATTGATTTGGTGTTGATATTGATGTTGACACTTTTGCTATACTTATGATTAGAATCAAAGTTCGCAACATATATTTAGTAGAGTAATTGGCCATATTGTGAATATCACAATACATGACTTTATTAATTATTAGTTTATTGTGCATGTTACGAGAGAAATTGTAATTGATTTGTCCTACAAAATCATAAATCATATGATTGAGATTGTAAAATTAAAAACATAAAAAACATAAAACATAAAAGTTTAGTAATGGTACTTTGTTGTTAATAGTCTTAAAAAGGGAAAGAATTGATGTATGTGCTATGGAGGGTATTATGAGTTTGAAATCCATTTTTTTTTATTTATTTAATCAAGCTAACTTTCAGTTTTTTTATTTAGCTTTTTCAATCATCATTCATCTAGTTGAATTGATTTTTTTTTCAAAATAAGGAGTTTTACAAGGATTAAATTGCATAAATGTTAAGGGTGCAATTTCGTATTTTAGATTAGGACACACTGATAAAGTGGGTTAGTTGAAAAATAAGATGAAATAGGATTGAATCATTAGAAAAGAAATTTTTGAGAGATATTTTTAGGCATGCGGTTAAACCAAAAGGTACCCAAACTTCACACACCACACAGTCCATTATAGTCGCCCTGAAACAGTGGGGCCTTCCGGTAATCCTTCCACTGACCATCACTTTCTCGCCATGTTAACACCTTTTGTAGTCCTGAATGATCTACTATTATTCTTAGCAGATAAGAATCATCAGGAACTGTGTAGACCCAGTATATTTCATCTGGATCATTTACAAAAGTGCTTTCGTATAAGCCCATTTGACTTCTCCATGGCCAAGGAGGAGATCTACTAAGTGGCTCTGTTTCATTGTAGACAAAGATTTGCGGTGAGACATTTGGGTTGATCATAAGAGAAAAGTCTCCAATCCCAGGGTCATCAGCTGATCTCCATGATGTTAGAAACCGATTAATTTTCGATCGAGCCCCAATTTCATCCCAGGTAGGTGGGTGCTTGTAGGATAATCGAAGCTTTGCCATACACTGTTTCTGCTTCTTTTCCTGACCAATATCAAATTCCCAGAATCCAAGAGTTGAGCTGCACAGATATCATTTTCTTCCACCGAAACATTTGTAGACCACACTGGAAGCTTTTGGTCATCTTTTCCATAGAGAACGAGGTTTCCATATTGGTTTATAAAGAAAAATCCAGAGGAACCATTGATTGGATCCTTCGAGTTTGCAAGCCACACCACAGTTTGTTCTGGTACTTTATGGTACCAAATTCCAAGATATCTATTGCTTGAACTACCTGGACTGAAAAATCCTAGTGCGAAATTATTTCTTTCGAGATAAGAAGGTCACCTACTTCAATGGTCTGGTTCGTCTTTAAGGAGTCTCGGGATGTACAAGATGAGAAATGGAGAAAGGAGATGGTCTCCAGACAAGTATGGGATCATTAGAGAAGTTGCGTGAAAAAAATGGTTTTTTTTAAATAAATGTATTAAAATAATTTTTTTTATTTTCAATTTTTTTAAATATCAACCTATTAAAATAATATAAAAATATAAAAAAAATTAATTAATTTTTTTTTAATTTTTGCAAATTTTCATGTAGACCACACTCCCATATCATCATATCATCTTGTCCTTTGTATTTTATTTTCGCTAGAAGGCAACTCAACCTTTTTTTTCTTTTTATGTTTGATTTTAACATATAATGAACTAATTTGATATAATATATATTATGGTGATATCTATGATTCTGGATGATTATTGAAGACATGAGTTCTTTAATATACCTCAAATTTACTAGATTAATGATTTTATTGAAGATGATGGTTTTTCAATTAAGAAAGAATATTGATTTGGTGTTGATCGATATTGATATTGACACTTTTGTTATACTTAAAATTAGAATCAATATTCACAACATATATTTAGCAGAGTAATTGGCCAAATTGTGATTCAAAGATGTGAATGTCACAGTACATGACTTTATTCTTAGTTTGTTATGCATGTTATGAGATAAATTGAGATTGATTTGTCCTCCAAAATCATAAATCATATAATTGAGATATCAGTAATCATATAATAAAACAACTATTTAATTTTTTCAATCATTATTCTTCTAGTTGAATTGATTTTTTTTTAACTAAGGATTTGTACATAAATGTTAAGGGTGTAATTTCATATTTTAGATTAGGACACATTATGCTTAATTTCATAAATTCATAACATAAATTTATTTTTTAAATATTAAAATAACAATATATTAAATAAATGTGAATCAATTCAAATCAACTTTTTAAATTGTTATAAGATTACAACAACCCTGTAAAAAGAAAATTAAACAAATAATTATGTTTAATCAAAAAATAATTCAATAATAAAGAATAAAATTTAAAATTAAAATACTTGATTAAAAAAAATTAAAAAAAAATCCAAATAAACCCAAGTCAATTTGTATTTTACTAGATTTAATAATTTGTTTTCTCTTAAATTATTTTGTATTTAATTACACAACAAAAAAAATCTAAAAATAAAGAAAAAACATGACATGCATGTGGAATTAAAAAAAAAAGGCATTTAACTAACAAAGGTTTTTTATTTTTTTTATATTTAGGGGCTGAAAATGCATTAAGTAAAAAAAAAGATTTTTTCAAAAAATTAACAATCCATCCAGTCACATGACCCACCCACGCACTTGACCTGCAAAAATAGAAATGGATGAAAGCAAAAATATTCAATGAAAAAATAGATTTAAAAATGATAGGAATCAACCTTAGTTAATTTGTTATACCACTGAATTTAATAACATATTTTTCATTTTGTTACACAACAATCAAGGATGCTTTTCTGTATCAAATGGAAAAAAAAAAAAAAAACACAGAACAGGCGCATGGTACAAAACAATGGCCTATTTTTTTTATGTTAAATAAGAAAAAATGGTTTTCTATACGCTAATTAAAAATAAAAAATAAAAAGAGGTTGTATACATTGCCTAAAAAATGAACTCATAAGTGAGTATATTATATTTATATCTAAGCAATTCACTTAATCTCGAAGAGGAATAAAAAAATCCAAGAGCTTCAAAAATAAACAAAAACAAAATGAATTGAAGCAAATTTTTTAAATCTAGATTAATTTTTTTAAATTTATAATTTATTAAATCCTAGATCTATGTTCAAAAAAAAAAAAATTTAATATTGAAGAATAAAAAAAATCTTAAAAAAAAATTGCCAGATCAATAAAAGTAGCAATAAAAATATACTGACCGTTCTTGATCCAACTGTGGGTTCAACATGGCTGGTCATTAGCATATTTGATTATTTGTGGCTCAGGAACAGAGGGAAAAAGGTAAAGACAAAGCAAGCATCAAAACAGAAGGTAGATAGAGTAACTATCCATAAAAGAATAGTTGACGAACACCACCCCTATAGCATAACTTATGATGATGCTGCTAGGTTTCTTCCTTGACACTAGGCAGAATGGATCAGTTGTTTAGAATTAGAATGTTACGTCTAGTGCTGAAGAGCTTGATCTGTTGTGATGCACAATAGATTTGTTTTCGTTATAAATCTAATGGAACTTCATATTAGCAATTTTTTCAGACAACACAGCTTCAGCGACAAGCAATTTCAGAAATTGTAACCTCATTTAGAGAACATTGTCCATCTTCTACGTCTACAGCTATATCAGGATTATTGTCAGATTTTCTGAAGAGGAATGCAGGTTGTTTTGGAGAAGGAATCTCTGTCTCACTACTCAACATAAAAACAACCGCCAACATAGATGGTCTGTCCGTGGGATCTTCTTGCACGCACAGTAGACCAATCTGTATGCATTTCAAGGCTTCACGCGGATCATACAACTCCGTCAGTGATGGATCCACTATCTCCAATGCTTTTTCTTCTCTCCATAATTCCCACACCTGTGTGTTGTTCATATAAATCATTAGCATACAAGATAGAAGAGCAGACAACATCTAAAATTGTGAACATTGAAATTCAGCCAAGAGCACCAAAGGCTATCTTATAACTCACATATCCAATCAAGGTCAAAGGAGGATTCTGTTGATAAAATCTATTGTTCTTCTTGCCACTAACAATCTCTAGCAACATGACCCCAAAACTGAAAACATCTGATTTTGCGGAAAAGTTTCCAAACACAACATATTCTGGTGACATATAGCCACTGCATCAGAAAAACAATAGTAGTTTTACTATTCCTGGTAATCAATGATAGTACTTTGTCACTCGGTCTTTGTTTTAGGCAAAGGTACTTACTATGTTCCCACAACTCTCCTTGTCCTGTCTTCAGTTCGGTTGCCTTCAAATATTTTTGCCATTCCAAAATCTGATATTTTTGGGTTCATATCTGCATCCAATAGAATGTTGCTGCATTTTAAATCCCTGTGAATGATTCTCAACCTGGAGTCTTGGTGAAGATATAAAATCCCACGAGCTATTCCAACAATAATATCGAAGCGTTTTCGCCATTCCAATAACAATCTTCTGCTTTCATCTGTTAAGAAAGTTACTTTTCAGCCAGCTACAATTCGACAACTAGTGTAAAGCAGGGCAATAAACACAGAAAAAGACTTACCAAAAAGAAACGAGTCTAAGCTTTTGTTTGGCAAGTATTCATAGATTAACATTTGTTCTTCATTCTGAATGCAATAACCTAGAAGTTTCACAAGATTTCTGTGTTGAAGCATTGCAATTACCATAACTTCATTTTTAAATTCTTCTGTTCCTTGTCCTGAACTTCTAGACAACCTTTTTATTGCAACCTCCTTTCCATTAGCTAGCAGACCCTAAAATCATGTTACAAGATTAAGCCTCTAAATTACAATTATGAAAATTAGAGAAAAACAAATCTGCAGTATTGAGAAGCCATTTAGTTTTTGGAAGAAACGCAACCTTATAAACAGAGCCAAAACCACCTTGCCCGAGTTTGTTAGCTGGAGAGAAATTGTTAGTGGCCGCCGTTACGGTGCTGAGCTTGAAATATTCCAATTCAGTAGAAGTGCTGTTTACCTTCAGTTCGGTACCTTTTTTTGCTCTCTTCTTGAGCCACAAATAAGCAAACAGGCTAATGAGAAACCACAGTAATGTAATTGATGGTGCTAAAACGGCCAGCATCGGTTTTTCACGAGAATCATTTGACTTCCTTTTAGTATCAGCTGCATGAGAGTGAAAAGAATAAAGATTAACTCTATAGGAAAAGCCACCCATTTTCCAATGGAATATGACAATACATATGGCAATGGGTAGCCAATAACTATGGTTTCTTTCCTGCAGTAAAGAGCTTATTAACTACAGTCACGAGCAGTGACAAGCATAGGAAAGCTCTTATAAATCAATATTTGTAATGACAATCCTAGGAAGTAGTTACTGAGCAGAAAAAGGGTACCTAATTCATATGCATCAACACGAACATACAGATCATGACTTTCACTCCGAACATAATTAATGTCTACTAATTCCTTGTACCATGTCAAACAACCATAATTTTTTCCGGGAATTGCAATGATTGCGTATGCAGAACATGAGCAATTCCTCTTGCATTGCACTTCGCAGTCTGCAATACTCTTGCTCATATCCACCCAAACTGCAGCTGAACTTTCCGGAAGAATTACATTTTCCACCTTCACAAACCCTTCACCATGCTGGCACACCGAAGACGTATGTAGCCGCTTCCTGACACAACCACCGGACCCATCTCTCGCAGACCATTCCAATGGGTACTTGGGCTCGAACCCAGGTAGACAGGCGCATCCAAATTCATTTAGATTGGCGAGTTCACACGTACTATAAGCACCACAATTTCCATAATAGTCGCAGTGAAACTGAGGGGACTGCCAGTATTCCTTCCACTGACCATCACTTTCTCGCCATGTTAAAGCCTTTACATGTCCTGGATGATCCACTATTAATCTTAGCAGATAAGAATCATCAGGAACTGTGTAGACCCAGTATATTTCATCTGGAACATTTACAAAAGTGCTTTCGTATAAGCCCATTTGACTTCTCCATGGCCAAGGAGGAGATCTACTAATTGGCTTTGTACCATTATAGAAAAAGATTTGCGGTGAGCCATTTGGGTTGATTCTAAGTGAAAAGTCCCCGAACCCAGGGTCATCAGCTGATCTCCATGATGTTAGGAACCGATCAATTCCTAATTTTCGATCCAGCCCCAGTTTCATTCCAGGAAGCAGGATGTTCGTAGGATAATCGAAGCTTTGCCATACAGTTTTTCTGCTTCTTTTCCTGACCAATATCAAATTTCCTGAATCCAAGAGTTGAGCTGCACAAGTATCATTTTCTTCCACTGAAACATTTGTAGACCACACAGGAAGCTTTTGGTCATCGTTTCCATAGAGAACGAGGTTTCCATAGAGAACGAGGTTTCCATATTGATTTATAAAGAGAACTCCAGAGGAACCAATGATTGGATCGTTCCTGTTTGCAACCCACACCACAGTTTGTTCTGGTATTTTATGGTACCAAATTCCAAGATATCTATTGCTAGAACTACCTGGACTGAAAAATCCCAGTGCGAAATTATTTCCTTTGGAGATAAGAAGGTCACCTTCTTTAATGGTTTGGTTGGTCTTTAAGGAGTCTTGGGATGTACAAGATGAGAATTGGAGCATTAAAAGAGAAAAAAGCAGGAACAGTTTTTCAGCTTCCATTATTGGGAAACTGGATCTTAGCTTTTGGACAATTTGAATGTTGCTCTGTGGAGAAAGGAGGAGGTCTTCAGACAAGTATGGGACCATTAGAGAAGTTACGTGAAAAAAGTGGTTATTGAGGGATTTTTGTTTTATGGGTTGGCTGTTCGGAAATGAATAATAATTATTTTCTAAAATGTTTTTTTATTAAAAATATATATATATATAAAATTTAAAAAATTATTTTTGGTATTAGTATATTAAAACAATTTAAAAATATAAAAAATTATTTTTAAACAATTATTACTTAAATTTTTTACAAATCTCAATTTATTATACAACATTCCCAAATGAGTTCATCTTCTCCATTGTATACTGCATACACTACTTGTAGGCCACTCAATTTTTATTATTTTAAATCTGATTTTAATTTATAATAAACTAGGTTGATAATATATTATATTATGGTTAAATCTAAGATCTTGGATGATTATTTAAGACGTGAGTTCTCTAATTTAGTTTGTTTACTATTCTTAAAAAGGGAAAGAATTGATATATGTGCTATGGAGGGTATTATGAGTTTTAAATCCAAATTTTTATTTATTTATTTAATCAAGCTAACTTTCAGTTTTTTTATTTAGCTTTTTCAATCATCATTCATCTAGTTGAATTTATTTTATTTTTTTCAAAATAAGGAGTTTTACAAGGACTAAATTGCATAAATGTTAAGGGTGCAATTTCATATTTTAGATTAGGACACATTATGCTTAAATGCTAATTCCTGAGAAAGTATTTTAATTCATTGCATGCATTCGGGCGTTTTGGATAAGATAGTGGCATCTAGCCAGGTGGCACGCATCGTTTCGCAGAGACCACAGGGGTATGAATTTTTGCCTTGAGGTGTTTTTTCTATTCTGACTTTTCAGTCCAAGTTTTGTATAGCTGTGAGATCTTTTACTTAGGGTAAGTGAAAATATCATAATCTCAATTATGAGTATGATGAAAATAATATTTATTTAATAGTCTAATTTTTATTTGATTTGATTTTTATTAGTTATGTCAACTTAATTTATTGTTTAAAACAATTTTATATTTTAGTGGCATTCCACAATTGATATTTTTATTATTTAACTGCAATTTTCAAATTTAAGAAACTTTGATTTATTAATTTTCCCATGCACTGCATCACTTGAACTTTAGTCTTTAGGGTTTTCTTTCAAGTGGGCAGCATGAGAAGATACATATTAAAACTAACAAATATCTATCGGACAACATATCGTGTTTTTTAAATATTGATATCGTGTTTTTTAAAGGAATAAAAAATCAATTATTAATGCCATATTTGAGGCATGTTGGAAGATATTGTTCTTTGATTCATTCGCAGCCCAATCATCTCAGGTATGTTTTTCTAGCCTAATTTTTGCATTAATTTATGTCTTTTCTTTTCTGCAACCCAATTTCAACTTCTACTAAAAAAATAAAAACTTTGTTGTTTGCAATTTTTAATGTTAATCAATAATGAACTCTAGAATACTATTACCATGATTCTATTTGTATATGATTTGATGCTTATTACCATGATTCTTTTTATGTTGTTACCATGATTCGATAGTTATAAGTTAGCTGTGTGATGTTTGTATTGTGTTGAATTGCATTGTTACAATTGTGTTGAATTACACGCTAAAAAAATGAAACCATGATTTTGTCTGTTACCGATTCCAATTGCTTTGTTAATTTGTTAATTTCCTAGAGCATTGTTAATTCTTTTGCCTAATCAGATTTGTTAATTTCCTAAAGCATTGTGTTGAATCTGTGGTGTGTGTATTGTGTTGAATCTATATTGTGTCAGTTGCATTGTTAATTCTTTTGCATTGAATGAAAACCATGGGGATGTCATTGTTAATTTTCTAGAGCATCAACTCAGTAGTCTTTTTCTATTATATATGATTAACAATGAGGCTATAATTGTTAATCTAATGAATGGATTGCAAAGTGGGTTGGCTTAAAATTATATTCCCTCTTATAAATTATGTTAGGTCTTAAAATGTCTTCGCATGATGGTAGTACTTCAAGTAGTGATCCTTCAACGGCCCAATCATCTCAACCTTCAATTTCCATATCAAGTGGTAGTAGAGGAGGAACAAATTTAGCATGGGGTCATTGTAGAGAAGCTCTTGAACTTAGTGTTAGATGTAAAAAAAATAAATTAGTTTATTTATATTATATTAAAGCATTTGCGGGTGATGATATTAATTGATTTAAATAACATTTAGCTAGAGTTAAAGGAGAAGGTGAACAATATAGCAAATGTCCTCCTGATATTCAATATCAAATGGTTTTGAATCTTAAAGGAAATGCTGGAAAAAAAAAGTTAGAGAAATGCAAGCAGATTTTAATCCATTTAATGCACAACAAAAGGAGCATGAAAAGATGATGATTAGGCACTTAGAAGATGATGATGAGGAGGAGGAGGATGATGAGGTTGTCAATACTAAAAATCATATGTTACCACCGAAGATTGCAAAACAGAAAAAGATTCAAAGCACTAGCACTGTAAAACAATCAACTACAAGTTATGGAAAGCAAAAAAAATCTGCAACATTAGGGACATATTTCATGTAGAGAACAACTCCTGGTGCTCAAAAGTCTCTTTAGAATTGTTGGCAGCGGAAGGAAGCAATTGAATGGTGTGATCTTGCTTTAGCGAAATGGATGATTGATGCATGTGTGTCATTTAATGCTATTAATTCTATGTATTATCAGTATGTCATAGATGCATTAACAATCATAGATCATGGTTATAAAGGACCAAACTTGCATGCTATTCATGGTTATTAGCAAAAGCAATTGATGAAGTTAAGATTTATATTCAGACTTATCAAGAGATTTGGAAGACGACTGGTTGCATATTAATGGCTGATGGATGGATAGATCAGAAGATGAGGACTTTAATTAACTTCTTAGTATATTGTCCTAAAAAACCAACTTTTTTGAAAACTATAGATGTATCAGATGTCTCAAAAACTGTTAGATTGTTGTATCAGTTATTTAGAGATGTTGTTTTGTATCTTAGGATAGAAAACATTGTGCATATGGTGACTGATAATGCTATAAATTATATTGCTGCTGGCAAGTTATTGATAGAAGAATTTTCTTCAATATTTTGGTCTCCTTATGCTGCTCATTGCATTAACCTTATACTCCAAGACATTGATAAATTGCAGTCAGTTTGTTGTGTTGTTGAGCATGCTTCTGGTATCACAAAATACATTTATAATCATTGTTGTCCATTTTATTTGATGAGGAAGTTTATTGGAGGAAAAGAAATACTTCATCCAACTCCTACTCGTTTTGCTACCAATTTCATTGCATTGCAAAACATTTTAGCTCATAAAGATGAGTTGAGAGCTATGGTGACATCTAAGGAATGGGTTTCATCTGTTTATGCTAAAGATAGCAAAGGAAAAAAGTTTGTTGAGAGTGTGCTAGACTCTCTGTTTTGGGAAGAATATGCAATAATTATGCGAATGAGTGAGCCTTTTGAGTTCTATGAATGGTTGATAGTGATGATAAACCTTCGATGGGATATTTATATGATGCTATTCATCATACAAAAGAAGAAATGATGAGGAGATTTCAAAAGAGAAATGCTAAAGTGAAACCTTTTATAGACATTATCAATAATCGGTGAGATGAACAACTGTATAGAAATCTTTATGCAATGGTATTTTGGTTGAATTCTCGATTTCAATATGATGCAAATATAATGGATAAACATATGAGCACCATTTCTGGATTTTTAGATGTTCTTGAGAAGTATACACATGGAAATCTACCATTGTAAAGTAAGATTACAAGTAAGATAAAGTTATTTAGGAATGCTGAATATGACTTTGGTCGCATGTCCGCAATAGATAATCGCACCCTTATGCCTCCAGGTATATAATTTTTATATTTAAAAATATTATTTGACATAGTCTTACACTTTTACTTATTATTTTTTTGTATAGATGAATAGTAGATGACATATGGAACTAGCGCTCCAAATCTACAACAATTGACTATACGAGTGTTAAGTCATACTTGTAGTTCTTCGAGCTGTGAAAGAAATTAGAGTATATTTGAACATATTCATTCCAATAAGAGAAATATATTGGAACACCAAAGGCTTAATGACCTTGTTTACATCCACTGCAATCTAAGATTGAAACAGAACTATCTTGTTTAGTGATAAATATTATTTAAAATAAAAATTTTTTAACACATAATATTTATTTATTAATTTTGTTTGAAATGTAGATGTCATAAAGTTAATAATATTGAAGATGATTGTGACGATGAAGTTTCAAATGAGCATGTTGATGATGTATTAGGTGTTGACGAGATTGGCTCAATTCCATCGACATTTGATCCAAATTTTGCTCCTATGGACACATAAGAACTTAATATGTCCATTCAACAAAAGTGAATGTGTTGTTAATTTAGAATTTATATTGTTGGATGTTTTATTTTAAATATTTTAGAATTTATGTGGTTGAATGTTTTGTTTTAAATATTTTAGAATTTATATTTAGTTTGTGTTTTGGATATTGAATTAAATTTATGTTGTTGGTTTATAATTTAAATTTGGTTTATGTAAGTATTTCATTGTAACTAGTTATGTGTTTTTTTTATAGGTGTTTTTTTTGTTGACCCAGGTCAACACATCTAACCCGTGACCCGATCACTTGACCGGATCGAGTTTTAAAACTATGCTTCCATGCACTTGACCTATAAAATTAGAAATTAAAAATAAAAATATTTAATGAAAATAAGGCTTAAAAAAATATAAATTAACCTAATTGAATATGTTATACCTATAATCTTG